CGAAGTTTAGCACATATTGAACTGAGGTTTGCAGCTGCAGGTGTGTAGTGATCATTAATATACACACGAGTCAGAACATCGCTACCAGGACCATCTTTAAAGACATCACCCACCAGTCTATAGTTTGCAGAGGTCTACGAAGTAAAGTACAGGCTTTATTATTCGCTTTATATTAAGTATATATTTTTCAAAGAGTTTATCATCTTTGGTTGCCCTATAGACCTAATCTTAGAGTTTAATGTACTTTCTTAACTGACTTGATGATAGAACGGTTGATCCATATTCCGAACTTAAAAAAGATTTCCATGCGCAACGGTCTTGTTCACATCTCATCCAATTTGAAAGACCATTTTCGTAGATGTTGTCTTCTTCTTCTTGACCTTTCCATCGGATTCGTGGCTTTCCCCATCTGCGCGATCTATCACTTGGCTCGCTTTCATATGTCCCTTTTGTGCTAAGGCATCTTCATTCATATTCACAAGATGGCCCAGCCAACGTAGTCGTTGGCCATCTGAGAATAGATGGTATAGCTCATGGTTCGTTCATTCGACAGCAATGTTGAGCATATCACACGACAAACTGTCACCTTGTCTGAACCCTTGTTCGGTATTGAAGGGCTCCGAGAGGTCCTTTCCTAATTTAACTGCTGATATTGTAAAAGTTAAAATTATTCTGCATAGCCGTATTAATTTTGCAGGAATGCCATGCAAACATGGCTTTAAACACCTCTGAACGGATAGGGCTGTCGAATGTTTCTTCATATTCGGCGAATAGGTGGAATGTGTCGATATGTTTTCCGTGGGTTTTTTCCATGAACTGGCGCAGAGTGAAAATCTGATCAATGGTGGATTTGCCAGGCCTGAAGCCGTATTGGTATAATCCAATAATGTCATTGGCTTCAGTCGTTCACACAGCATGCTGGATAACACTTTATATGCGATGGGAATTTAATGTTAGTTTAGAAAAAATATTGCGATTTGCTAAGTTTGGATCAAATCAGACATTCCATTATTATGATATTGAATTCAATTTTTTTTTCAAATGGTATGTCGATTAACTGCGAGCCAGTACGAACAAACTCGTCAGCTATTTCATTCCCTATTATGTCCGGGAACGCAACAAAGTCTAACAAAAAGACTTATATCTAGCAAAACATTTCTGCATTCTCGAGCAGCGGTAGAATTTATAGCCTGTGGGTCCGCTTGACTATCGACATATTTAGTCACTGGTCTAAGATCATTGCGCCATAATTATTTGACTGAAAACGCTACAGTTGTTGTTCCAGCCTATAGAGTTCTTGCTTGAATAGAGCTTTTCCCTATAGAGTTCTTGCTTGAATAGAGCGCCATGAGACCTCTCCTTGTGCCGAGGTACTTCGCCTCAATGGAGAGGTGTAGGGCTGTTCCATCCAGTATTGGTAGGGTAATTATCAGGACTTTGTTTAATAGTTTTTAACGTCCTGTTCTCGCACTCTTTTTGACAAACCCTCCCTTTCCTTTTATTATTGTCTATAAAAAGAAATCTATGGTTATTTTAATTATGTATTCAAAGTCCGTTCAATTTCTTATTATTAGTATTCTATATATAACTACATCTACACATCGTTATCATCATCATCATCATCATCATCCTACGCATCATTATTCGTTGGTATCGGCTTGCCATCTTTGTCATAACGTATGTGTAAACCATGTTTAATAAAACGGCCGGCAGCACCTTTATCCAAGACGGGACGTATTGTATTGCGTTCATAGATTTGTTTATCTCTCAAGATAGTTTGTCGCACACGCGACAACTCATTTTTTATACCATGCTAGAGAAAAAAGAGATACAAAGTCTGCATGAATTTCGATTCATACCCAAACTGTGTATTAATTCCACTTACCTCATTTGGATCCAATCCCTGCAATTTGACATACATCCAATACAACGAATTTATGGAATAGGCCAAATAATTGTCCAGTTTTACACGTTCCTGGGTCGACAGCTCATCGTAATCCTTGAAACCGCATGCCAGTTGCAGGTCTGCCTCAATTTTGTCCAAACTGGCATCGAAATTTTCCACACAGTTGATGAATTTATCATCATTACGTAGTTCGGCGTAGTCGCGATTAGACATTTTGTTGTGTTTTGATTTTTGGATATGTTGAGATGTGAAATATTTCACTTATAAATTTAATTTCGTATTCTTTTTGGAACAGAAGAAGAAATAGTGTATCAAAACAAACACATGTCAAATAGAGGTGACACCAATTCGATGGCAATTTTATCGATAACATCTATTGATTAATAACTTATGTCATGTTTATACCAGATTACAAAAAACGGAGATGAATGCTATTGGATTCATCTCCGTTGCGGATAGTGGAAAGCCCAACAAAATACATTTGGGAATGAGTCTCGGAGGAAATGATCGAGTTTGTTCCCGTACTGCAAGAATCTACTAGATTTTACTATTTTCTTCGATAACATAAGGAAATTTCGTTATCGTAGTAAAAAGTAGTAGATTCTTGCAGTGCGGGAACAGACCAAAGGTTAGGGATGAATGGTTGTTAGCATGGTACAATTATAAAAGGTAACAGCAAATCCCAGCTGATTTTATTCCAACTAGTGTCAATATGAATTTGACAAATTATGTTTTTAAAAATCACCCAACAGGAAAACTGGGAACGCATTCAATTCGAATTTGTTCTTTATTAAATGTCCTCCCGTATTCAATTTAATCAATCTGCCTGCTGGGAAAGTTTGAGGAAGCAAATCTTTCTTCAAGGAACCACTCGCTATTCCCAGCATTTTCATATGTGTTACACATATATATGGTAATGGCTCAATTATAGGAAAGATGTGGAAGCGATAGAAATATACATTTCATGTTTTTCAATTTTTATTTTGAGGATTCAAAAATATTTCATTTTCAAAATAAAAATAATTTGATGATAATTTGTTTGTTTGTTTACATTTTTCTGTCAAATGAGGTGACACTAGTAGAACTTACAACAACAAATTTCCATGTGATTTTTGTATCGTTTTTTTGTACAACAACACTTGCTGTTACCTTCTATTATTATACCATGGGTTGTTAGCAGCAACGTACACAGGATATCATTTCGGGGGGGGCCCGGTAGTGCAAAATGGAAAAATTCGATGTTGCAAACATAAATTTACTGTGAAAAAAATTCATTTCGGGGGGGGGCCGGGCCCCCCGGGCCGCCCCCCTGCGTACGTCCCTGGTTGTTAGTATGGTATAATGCACGCTGGATAGCACATAAAGTGCTATCCAGCGTGCTGTGTTAACGACTGAAGCCAATGGTCATTGACATTATTGGACCATATCAGTGCGAAAAGATAAACCTGATGGTATCAACGCGCAAAACGTCCAATAGACTCGGACCGACTGTGGAACTTGAAAGCTACAGCTTTGTAGCAGTCGACGATTTTATATACCTCGGTAACGCCATAAACAAAACTTATAGCATCAGCTTTGAAATCCAAAGGAGAATAATGTTGGCCAACAGATGCTACTATGGTTTAAGTAAGCAGTTTAGAAACAAGGCCACCTCTCGCCAGACCAAACTCACACTCAACGAGACGCTGGTATTACCCGTGATGTTGTATGGATCCGAATCATTGGTACTTGCACAGCAGATATGGCAACTCTTGGAGTGTTTGAGAGTCTGCTTTTCCACAGGCAAATTTTTATTTGGCAAATACTGAGTTTGTAGGCGAGAGGGGTGCGAGGAAGAAAAACAAAAATTTGCCTGTTCAGAATTTGCCGTACACGCAAATTCTGCTTTGCTCTGTTCGTTGAAATCAATTTTATTGACATTTCCTCTTGGACCTATTCGCTTCACTGACACACAGCCGGCTTTTGTTTACAAACCTGTTGCTTTAATTTGTGCAAGTGAAATTTAATTTTTAATATTTGCAATTTATATAATAAAATATAAAAAAAAATAAAATATTAAAAAAGTCTTCAAAATGCAAACACTTTTGGCGTTTTTTTCTTTCTTTTGTATTTTGATTCGCAAATTTGGCAAAGAAAAATTTGCTAATGGAAAAGCAAGCGAAAATTTCAAAAGAGAAAACAAAAAATTGGCCAAATAAAAATCTGCCTGTGAAAAAGCGGACAGAGAAAAATTCCCCGGAAGATCTATGAACCGATCTGCGTCGATGGTGAATATCACCGTCGAATGAATCATGAGCTATGAAGATGTCCCAGCTCAAAAGGCATATAAAAGCGAGCGAAATGATGGTTCACGCAGATGGGGAAGGCCCTGAATCCGATGGAAAGATCAGGTAGAAGACAACATCACGAAAAATGGTCTATCAAATTGGATGAGATACGCACAAGAACGACCCGTCTGGAAATCTTTATTTAAGCTCAGCTTATGGAACAGCCGTTCTGTCATAAGCCAGCTAAGTAATGGTCTGTTCCCGTACTGCAAGAATCTACTAGATTTTACTATTTTCTTCGATAACATAAAGGAAAATTAGTTATCGTAGTAAAAAGTTGTAGATACTTGCAGCACGAGAACATACCATAAGTAAGAGTGGGTTTCCCATGTTCTGACATAAGCCCCATATGAAGGCCCCACCCATGTTTGGAATATCGATGGTCCTAGCAGAATTTTTGTTCCAATTTCTTGCTCACAGTGTACACCGCATTAAATAAAAAATCGATTAATCGATAAGTGGAAAGTCGACTTAAATACCTCGATCAGCTGATTGACATTCCATGTCATGTCTCTTTCTAAACAACATAATGAAATTGGGAATTATGCTTTACACCACATTCGTAAACTGATGTGTGGTTTCCACGTTTTGTTTAGATCTGATCGTTTATCAGACATTCTCCAATGTCCACTTCTATTAGTAGTGTGTGGTGGAACGTATTTAAATTGGGTTGGTTCAATTTCATTCACTTTAGCTGTACGCCTCAACGCAACAACGGAATTGGACAAATTGGTTGGACTTTCTGGAACTATACCGCCCTTAGGGATCGAAACAATGTTTAAGGAAAGCTTTAAATATTATAAATCTAAATGGCCTGTACCTGATTTTAAAGATGTCATCAATTTCAGTGGCCAACAAAACGATGAGGAGGTAATACTTTGCTTGCATGCAAATCTATTTTTATATTCCTTTATTCGAGTTGTGTCTTTCCTATACTAGTTGCTTCGCATATTCCTTGCAAGTGAAATACAACAAAAACCGATCATGTCGCCTATATTGTAAAATAATACATAATGATTATTCGACCTTTTTTGCAGGTTAAAGAATTCCACCTAAACGATTGTGAAGAGACAGCCTCACTGGGATTGCCATTGGGTCTGCAGCCGGTACATCATTGGAAATTGTTTACATTAAATAATCATCCAGGATTGTTGGTAATACGTCATGCTTTCACAGCGCAAGGGCAACGATATTGGATGGCACGAAGTTTAAAGGACTATCCGAGGGCACCGAATCGTGTCAACTTAAATGAGAGATTATTTCAGAAATCAGTGCTCGATGATTGGTGGTGTTCACTGCAAAATTGTGAAGATAAAGATGAAGCGAGACGTATGAAAATCTCCATGAGATGGACGACACTGGGTTATCATCACGATTGGGATACAAAAGTCTATAGTGAGGAAATGCACACAAAATTCCCCGAAGATTTGGCTAAATTGAGTAATTTCTTTGCCTCGGTACTGGGCTATAGTAACTATCAAGCGCAGGCAGCAATTGTGAATTATTATCCCATTGGAACAACACTGGCCGGTCACACAGATCATTCAGAACAAAATCTAGAGGCACCATTGTTTTCGATAAGGTAAAGACTTTAAAATTTCATTGTTAATCGCTACCTCCACGAAAGGTGGAGTTTATATATTGAATTTATGAGTCCGTCTGCAACACCTTGAAATGTTCACCAGGAATCCAAGAATAAAAGTATATGTCCGTTAGAATTACATGAGAGCTCCCAATGTTTAATATATAGCTTCGAAATGTTGCGCCTCCTAGGATGTATGATGTTGAAAATGGAATATAGCTACCAATGTTTTGATATTTTGAGTTCTCAGTGAGTACCAAATCTTTCTACTAAAAATCAATCAATTATGACCCATGATTCAGGGTAACTACCTATTAACGAAATCCCAATTATTCGGTATGTTTGGGAGCTCGACCAAGTTTTTCAATCGATTTGCTTATATTTTGATATTTTGGATTCTTTTTGAGTACAAAATCTCTCTACCAAAAATTATCAATATTGACCCATGTTTCAGAGTAGCTCCCCTACAACGGTTCCCTCATTATTCGATATTTTCGTCAAGTTTTCAACCGAATTGGCTGTAATTTGGTATTACGCATTCTCATTGGGTAGCAAATCTCCCTACCAAAAATTATCAATATTGGATAACTTTTTTTCGGGGAGCCTCCCTATACGATAAGTCCTAAATTTCGATATTTTGGGGAGCTTGGCCACATTTTTGAACCAAATAGGCTGAAATTCAATATTTTATACTCTTATTTGGCAGAAAACATGTCTACCAAAAATTAACGATATGGGTCCATGTTTCCGGGTAGCCCCCATATAACGGAACCACTTGTTTTTTCAACTGAATTGGCACTAATATAATATTTGGAGTTCTTATTTGAATGACAAACCTTCATACCAAATATTATCAATATTGGATAATTTTTTCGGGAAGCCTCCATATAACGATACATCCCTAATTTCGACATTTTGGGAGCTTGGTCACGTTTTTCAACCGAATTGGCTATAGTTTGACATTTTGGCTACTTATTAGGTATAAAATCTCTACCAAAAATTGACGATATTGGTCCATGTTTTGGTAGGCCCCATATTGCGGAACCCCCATTATTCGATATTTTGAACACGTGTTTTCAACCGAATTGGTTCTAATTTAATATTTAGAGTTTTCATTGGTTGATAAATTTTCGTACCAAAAATTATCAATATTGGATCACTTATTCGGGAAGCCCCCATATAACCCTACCATATTATTGGGAACTTTGAACACATTTTTCAACCGAATTGGCTCTAATTTAATAATTGGAGTACTCTTTGGGTGGCAAATCTTCATACCAAAAATTATCGCTATTGGATAATATTCAACCGAATTGGCTCTAATTAACTTTTTGGAGTTCTCTTTCGGTATGTTCAATGTTTTAGCATAATTCCCAATCTGAACTTAACGATTTTTTCTACTTTTTTAAAATAGAAAATATTCACTTTTTTCTTTTTTATTTCAGTTTCGGTCAAACAGCAATATTCCTAATTGGCGGGCAAACACGCGAAGAGAAACCCACAGCATTATTTCTTGAAAGTGGTGATGTACTGGTCATGTCTCGAGAATCACGTCTCTGTTATCATGCTGTACCTCGTGTCATGAAGGCGAGAGAAGAAACATGGAACAATCTCACCGAACCGTTGTCAAAAACCACCAAAGAATCTAGTCTAGAACCACCAACACAACCCTCCAAACGTTTACGTACCGAAGTGCCGTGTATAACGAGTACCGAAACCCAAGCCGCCCTTGAATGGGGAATGGATCCACTACTATATCATCAGATAACCGATGATGCCTTTTGGCTACCGTTTAAAAATTATTTACACGATTCTCGTATCAATATTAATGTAAGACAGGTGCTATATCAAAATCAAAGAACATTAAATGATCAAAAACAACAATGTGGAAGCTGAAATCGTGAAAAATAATTTTATCTATTTTTTTGATGAAATTTTATTTTAGTTTTGTAAAATACCGTGCAATGTTTTGTGGAAATGCATTAGTCACAAGCGCCATAACCACCAATGACAACAACTAATGGTTTCCGATATTAAAGTAGAAATTATGCTTGGACCACCTTACTTAGATTTTTGTTTTTTATTATTAAATCGAAATTGGGACAGCATATAGGGTCTGGTAATGTGCTGGGAATGGCTGGGCATCAAATGGCATAGAGCTAAGAGGTCACACATATTTGTCGCCAATATCAATGGCCACAACACTTTCCATGGTAGAGTGGAATGGCGCCCAATGAAATCTGTTGATGAACGGGATTTATTCTGCGAGGAGAAAATTTCAAAGATTATTTTGAAACAGAACGATTTTTCTTATTTTATTAGCTGCTTACGAGTTCAAGGCTTCTGCTCATTATTTTGTGATTTTTTTTTAATTTTTTGATATAGAAAATATGACTGAATATTTTTATTTATTTGACATTTTAAAATTCCCTTTTTTTTAAACATTAGGGGCTCCACACACTATACATAATGCCGATGAACAAGGAAAGGCGTAGATACTTTTTAAAGACCAATACAAGGCATATATGATTTTTAGAGACCAATACAAAGCGTAGATATATTTTTAAAGACCAATATAAGGCGTAGATTTTTTATAAACCAATTTTCAATGTTATTGTTTTTGCAATATCCACTTCATTGACACACATACAAAAACTACAATATTTCCCCTAACCCCTTGTGAAAATTTCATGCAAATACCTCAAGTACTTACCGAGTTATAGCGATTTAAAGTTTAACTTGTTTCAAAATATAGCAGCTACACGATTCTGTTTGCCTAGTACCGCAAATGGAAAAACTGAAGAAATTGCAAATAGCCAAAAATCGAAAATGAATGCAGGTGGCAGTATTGCCAGATTGTGTTTTGGGTGTTTGAAGCTGTTTTACAAATTGTTAGCATACTTTTAGGCGTTGCATTAAAACACACTGTCATTGAATTTTTTAGACGCATATCTATTTTAAAGGTGCGCCTGAAAGTATGCTCACATTTTGCAAATGAACATCAAACACACACACAAAGCAAACGATGTGGCAATACTGTCTTCATTAATTTTCTATTTTTTGCCAGAAGCAATTTCTTAATTTTTTCCTTTTGTGGTACTAGGCAAACAGAATCGTGTAGCCGCTATATTTTGACACAAGGTCAACTTCAAATGGCTATAACTCCGTAAGTACTTGAGGTATTTGCATAAAATTTTCACTAGTGGTTCGGTGAGATTGTGTAGATTATCTGTATGGAAATAAATACATTTGAGGAAGCATATATACAACTGATATTTAACAAAATTGGAAAAATATCGATTTTGGCTTCAGTTGACTGGGACTTTGTGGTTTTAAGGTCAATTAGATATTTGGCTTTCAAGAGACATGTTATGAGGGGTGTCTCAATCGATCAATAAAAAGAAATTAAAGAAACCAAAGGTGCGAGTCATTTAAAAATATATTTGCAAAGATCTACCATTGCCTATTTTTTCAAGGATCTGCCATAAGCATGGATTAAAAAAAAATATTCTTTCAATGACCTACCTACCATAGGCGAGGATTTAAAAAAAAAAATATTCTTTCAATGACCTACCTACCATAGGCGAGGATTTAAAAAAAATATTCTTTCAATGACCTACCATAGGCGTGGATTTTTTAAAAAATATATTCATTCAATGACCTACCATAGGCGTGGATATTTAAAAAAATATTCTTTCAATGACCTACCATAGGCGAGGATTTTAAAAAAATATTTTTTCAATGACCTACCTACCATAGGCGAGGATTTTTAAAAATTGTTTTTTTAAGGATCCACAATAGGAGTGGATTTTTAAAAATTATTTTTTAAGGATGCACAATAGGAGTGGATTTTTAAAAATTATTTTTTAAGGATCCACAATAGGCGTGGATTTTTAAAAATTATTTTTTAAGGATCCACAATAGGCGTGGATTTTTAAAAATTATTTTTTAAGGATCCACAATAGGCGTGGATTTTTAAAAATTATTTTTTAAGGATCTACAATAGGCGTGATTTACAAAAAAATATTTTTTTTTCAATTTCCCACAATGATCGTGGATTTCTAAATGTTTTTCCAGATACCTACCATTAGCTTGGATGGTTTTTATACCCTCCACCATAGTATGGAGGTTATATTATCCGTTTGTAACTCATCGAAATATGCATTTCCGACTCTATAAAGTATATATATCTTCTTGATTAGGGTAAAATTCTAAGACGATCTAGCCATGTCCGTCCGTCCGCCTGTTGTAATAACGCTATCTTCTAATGAATTGAGATAGGGTGCTGAAATTTTGTATAAAGTTGTCTTTTGTCTGCAGGCAGGTCAAGTTCGAAGATGGAATATGCCGGTCCACGTTTAGGCATAGCTTCCATATGACGGTACATCCCAATTTTGGGTATTTTGCGGTTCTTGAGCGAGTTTTCCATACGAATACGCTAAAATTTGGTACATTGGGTTCTTATTGGGTACTAAATGTCTCCACAAAAAAAAAAATTATAAATATAGGTCTACTTTTTCTGGTAGCCCCTATATAACGGTACCTCCTAAATTTCAGTATTTTGGGGGTTTTGATCGTATTTTTCCACCGAATGTTCTGTAATTTAGTATTTTGCGTTCTTAATAGGTACCATATCTCTCCACAAAAAATTGTAAATATAGGTAAATTTTTTCCGATAGCCCCCATATAAAGGTACCCTCAATTTTCCTATTTTAGGGTTTTTGAGCGCGTTTTTCAACCAAATTCGCTGCAATTTGGTATTTTGTAGTCGTCGTATATGGTAACAAATCTTCCTACCACAAATTTTTAATATTCGCCACCTTTTTGGGTTCGTCCCCATATAACCCCATTTTTTATATTAAAATAGTTATATGATTGGTTCCGTGTTTTGAGTTTGGTTCTAATAATCTGATGCAATCATTTCACATGCGGAGGATATCGAGATAAAAAAGTTGAACGTAAGGTTCGATAATGAACTTTAGCCCACATTTAGACCTAGCCCCTGTGTGGAGGTTCCAGTAGGAATGGTCCGATATTCCCCATGTTCGAACTTGAACTAATTTTGGAAGAAATGTTTGGATGAAATCAAAAATTTTTTTAAACAAATTTGGTACAAAGAAACATGGGGTCTGGGACCAATATTTGGAACCATAATCGGTTTGTAGAAATGTCAGTATAGGTACACTTTTTGGTATATTCCCTATAATTTTTTTCAAGTACCTGTCAGTATATCTATGGTGAAGCGTATCCAAAGTTCGGCCCGGCCGAACTTAACGCTTTTTCACTTGTTATTTTTTTTTTTTTTTTGAACGTGGAAACAAAGAAAACAACTACCACAGAAATTTCCTATATATTTTTTTCTTTTCATTTTTATTAAATCATACGTTTGTTTCCTTGTTTTTTTTTTGTTTCTTGTTCATTTCTGTTGCTGTGGTTGTGTGTTGTTGTTTTGGAATTTATTACAATTAAATTACAGAAATATAAATATGCGAAAAAATTTGTTTTTTTGAATTTAATTTTAGTTTTTTGCATGATAATCAATAATAATCAAAATGTTTGTTGTTGGATTTTGTTTTAATAATTGTATATATTTTGTTGTTTTCTTTTTGTTTTCAATTTTTTGTTTTGTTGTTTGTTTTTATAAATAATCCGTAAAGCTACTTAAAGATAGTTGATTTTGTTGTTTGTTTTTTAATTATAATTTAATAATATATGATTTTTTTTGAATGTTAATTTTTTATTTGTTTTATTTATAGAAATATTATTTTCTTGTTTTTGTTGTTAAATATTTATATATATATATATATATATATATGAATATATATATGTATATTGTATGTATATATATAATTTTTTTTAATTGATAGTTTTATTTTTTAATCTGTTTTCGGTTTTTCTTTTTTTATTTTAAAGAGAGTTGTGGAGAATCCTATTTTTTTATAAAAAAAAAACTACTAAAAATTTTGTTTTTTTTCCTACAATGTATATTCATTTATATGTATAACAGTATAAATTGTATTTATTTTTTATTTATAGCAAATTTGTTAACATCATTTGATTTTTATTTTTTTACGTTACGTTACTGCTGAATGCTTTATTTCCTATATATATATTTTTTTGTTTATATATAAGTATAGGCATTTGGGGGGGAAGGGATGTGGGGATTTTTTTGGGAAAAAGGATTTTTTTGTTTTATTTCAGTTTAGGAAAAATAGTCAGTTTTGTTTATTTTGTGTGTTTGTGTTTCTTTTCTTTTTTGTTTTGTTTTTTTCTTTATCATTTGAACAACATTTAGTACATGATATATAAATAATAGTAATAATAATAATAATTGTCGTAGTAATAGTAATAATAATAACTATACAAATAATACAAATGCTCTAATTACGAAGCGTCCTATTTACTAGTAAAAAAATAATATTTATATATAGAGTAAAAAAATAAAATAGTTTTGTTTTGCTTTTCTTGTTGGTTTGTTTCTTTCTTTATATAATGTTTTTTATATATAATTTTTGTATATATATATATATATATATTTATATTTGTTGTGTTTTACCATGGTATTGACTTTATTTTTTATATTAATAATAAATTTACACCCCGCTTTAAAAGTGTATACTGAAATTGTATCTTTTTTAAAGATATAGCAATTTAAATGTTATAAAATTTTGAAATTGTTGTTGTTTTGAATCAATAAAAGTATTTTGATATATTGCTCGATGAATGATGATGAGGTCATATTTTTTAGGCGAGGAAATCGATAGAAGAAAATCTAATATAAATTAATTAAAATTTATTTTGAAAAAAAAAAAAAATACAATTATTTAGATTTGAATCCGAATAATAAAATAGTAACAAAAAAAAAAAATGTCACAGGTTATTTAAAAAACGGTGAGAAAAACTAAAAACAATTTTAATTTAAAAAAAAAATAATTTTTTTATAATAAATTTCTAAAGGATATTCAATTTTTAAAGCCTTTCTAAAAGGACTGTTTGTTTTTTTTGCCATATTTTAATCAAAATTTGTAGAATTTCAACAGAAAAAAATTAAAAAAAAATTCCTAGTAGATGAGCGGATTTTTAAGTGGAATATTTTTCAATAAGGAAATGTGCTTAAAAATTGTATTCGTACAAATTTGTTAATTTTATTATAAGAAAAAAATTTTTTTATCAAATTGTAAACCAATTCATATTTTGATTAATTTTTCTGTACAAAAAATTATGTTGGTCTATTATTTTTTAATATAATTTTTTTTTTTTTTTTTTTTTTTTTTTTTGTAAAAAAAATGGTCCAATATATTTTTTTTATTGAAAAAGCGGATTTTCTTCTATAAAATGTTGAAAATTTGTTTTTCTGTCAAATTTTTTACCACATCAATTTTGAAATGTTGTCCAATTTTTCAAACAAAACTTTACCCAAATCGACCAATTTGAAAAAAAAAACCAAAAATGGTCAAAATAAATTTCGCTCTATTTGTATATAAGATGACCGATTTTTTCTTCTACAAATTTTCTACAAAAAAAGTATCGATTTTTTTCCATAACATTCAGACCAATCAATAATTTCACTGTCTAATAAAAAATGCCTGAATTTATTTTCTATCAAAATTTTAACTGATTTTTTTAAAAAAATATTATTCAAAATTTGGTCGAATTAATTTTCAAAAAAAGAAAAAAATCAATTTCGGTTTATATTTTTACCTTTTTATAAATAATGCCAATTTTTTCCGTGAAAATTGGTTGGTTTTATTTGTTTTTTTAAGAAAGCGGTCGATTTTTCTTCTAAGAATTTTTTGGATCGATTTTTCCTTAATATTCGGACCAATAAATTAAATTCACTGTCTGATAACCATTTTTATTGGAAAAATCAAAAATGACCAAATTTTGAACCAATTTTTTACCTCATCAAATTTGGAATTTTTTCCAATTTTTAAAATAAAACTTAAACCAAATCGACCAATATATAGAAAAAAAAATGTTATGAAATAAATTGAATTCAAAATTTAATTCAATTTATTTCATAAACGTGAACCTAACCCAAAGGGCCATGAGCGATTCCAAACACTTCATTAAATGGAATACTCCAAAAAAAATTCTTTAAAAAAAAAATGGATCGATTTTTCCTTAATATTCGGACCAATATAATCACAGTCTGATAAAAAAAAACAGATAACCGATTTTATAAAAAAAAATATTGTTAAAAATTTTGTCGAATTTATTTTCAATGAAAATGTAATTCAATTTCGGTTCAGATTTTTATGTATAAAATATTGGTCAATAAGTTTTATATAAAACATATTTTAAGTTTTCATAAGTATTTAGCATTTTTTTCCTGTAAAAAAATAGTCATACCAATTCTGATATTTACTCATATGTTTTGAGAATTTCTAGCTAAGAATGGAATCAAAGCCAATGAAAACGTTTTAATAGATTATAAACAGAAACTAGTTCCGAAACACTCTAAATAAAATGATGACTCTTGACTCCCTGGATGTAAAAAAAATGTTTCGGTTCACTCTTCCGAAAAGGACTATGTGTTTCTGTTCTTAAGTGGATTTATTCTGTTAGACAAAACATGTCGTGATTAATTATAACATTTAGACCTATCCGTCTACTAAATGCATTGCAAGAAGATTCAAGGTACTGCATTGTCAAGCAATAATTCATATTTCTTCCTGGGCTACCTACATACCTGGGTGATACCTACATACCAATTTAGTTTCATCACACAGTTTTCCTTCAAAGCATCGATTGATTAATATTCTTTTGAATCTGTCGATGAATTCAATATTGAAATATATAAAGACAATTTGTATATAGTGTACAGATCTGGCATATTATTTACTTTAATATGTTTCATTACTTTTTGTGGGTACAAAAAAAGGGAAAATTACTAATTATGGTTTATTTTTCTAAACACAGAGGGACGACTTCACAAAAAATACTATTTTTTTCTGATGACAATATAATTTAAAGAAAATCAATTAAATATTAAAAAAAAAACACAAATTTGTATAAATTAGGAAAAATACTCAAAAATTAGTTTAACAAATTACATACATAATAAAAAGAAAACACTAAAATGTCATCTTAAAAAAAATCTCGTCGCCATCAATATCAAAATTATATATATAAAAAATTAAATTACTATTTCACAAAAAAGATACAATTACGTTTACACTTGGCTGTTGGTGTAAAATATTTGTTTGTTTAAACATAATTTTGTTTTGTTTGTTTTACTTTACTTTCTTACTTATAAATATATTTATATATATATGTATATAGTATATAATATTGCATACATGTTTATATACTTTGTTAATTTGTTTCAGCTTTTTTGTTTGTTTTTCTTTTTGTTTTGTTTTTTTAATGTTATAAACAATTACAAGAGTTGTGTGTATTTGAGAAAGTTTCAATATCTTAAGATTTTGTTTTGTTTGTTTTTGGAATTAAATAGTCATTTTTTACAATACAATAATACATTCTAAAAAGGATAATGCAAACAAAATGGGGGTTTAAAAGGAGGAGCCTAAAAAACAAAAAGGGGATTTGGGGTTTTGTAAAAAAAAAAATAAGTAGTAGAAGTAGATTTCCTACAGAATGCAATTTGTTAGTTTTGGAAGGGGAGAGGGAAAATTTAGTTTATAATAATAATTAATAAAAATTTACTTTTATACAACGTTGGGTTTTCCCCAAAAAATATATAGAAGAAGAAAAACTATATAGGTAGGGGGGAAAATACGAAAAAAGGTATGCACAGTGTTTTTTTTTAAGATTCACAATTGGGAATAAATTGTTCTTGTTGTTGGTTTTTAGTTTTATAATACAGTGTTTGTTAGGGTTTTGTTTGTTTTCTTTTAAAGATTACTTGGTCTCATTTCAAGCTTGTTTTGTTTGTGTGTTTGTTTATTGATGATATTTCCTGTACTTCATCCGTCGTCTTCATGTCCTCCTCCTCTGCTGCTGCTGCATTGCTCAGTTGTTGCTTTATATACAAAAAATGCCCCGTCTAGGTTAAATCGATGACATCTCTTTTGGCCGCAGCACATTTATCAATTTATCATCGGCCTGGCGGATTATTTCCTGGATTTGTTGCTGTGGGTGCCATACCCATTACCGTCTGCGGTGTTCCACCACCGCCGCCACCGGGTTCCTCCTTTTTGGGTTGCATTAACGGATCCACCACCATGGGATGTGGCATACCACCCAGTGTCGGTGGAGGTTTACCGCTCAGCGATGATTGTGTGGGTACGACGGGAGGTCCACCTGGCCCACCTGGGCCCATTGATCCCGGCGGTGGTCCCAGTGGACCAGGTTGTATACGATGATGGGGAGGTGGTGGCGGACCCAATGGTCCTCCTACACCTGAGGGTGGTGGTATGGGGGATGGTTCTTTGCCACGCAAATGGGCCGCCGATTGCACTGCATACAAGTTCATTGCTGCTTTGTGGCGTTCTTCTTCATGGCGAAGAGCCACCTCCATTAGGGGATTATAACGTAAGGCAGACATTGCATAGGGGTCACGATAGGGATCCATAGGCCAGCCAGGACCTGGAGGACCAAAGTGAGTCATGGGTGGACCACCAAGACCTGGTGCCATCATAGTCCTTGTTAGGTGTGGAGGTGGTGGTCCCACATGGGGCCCATGACGACTGGCCATGAATGAGGCATGATGGGCGGCCGCTGCCGCATTTGCCTGGGCAGCTGCCAGCGAGTTATGATAACGAGGATCTACCGCTGCTGCGGCTGAGGCTCTCATCATCATAGCATCCTGCTCTTCTTTAGTTCGTGGCATTTCCTCTTTAATACGCATTTCACCACCCACTGGACCACCAGGGCCACCTTGCATATCTGTGACACTGCGATGTGGTGAACGTTCGCGCGCCTGATTCATAGCCGCTGCTGCTGCCGCCGCTTGCGACAATTTATTGCTTTCGTTGATGCGCTGCTGTTGCAGCATACGTTCACGTTCCATTTCGCGGCGTTCCATTTCTCTGCGTTCACGCTCCTTCCGTTCACGTTCCCGCTCGCGTTCACGCTGTTCACGTTCCTGTTGTTCCCGTTTAAGTTTCTCCTCCTTCTCCTTGCGTTCACGTTCCTCACGTTCTCGCTGACGTTGTCGTTCACGTTCTCGTTGTTCGCGTTCACGCATTTCACGTTCTCGTTCGCGTTCTTCGGCCTCTCGCCGGGCATTATCTAAGGCTGTGGTATCGGGTTTCATGGGCCAACCAGGAGGTGGTGCTCCCGGATGATAAGGCACAGCGCGTTGTTGTAAAGCAGCTCTGTGGAAAGTAGAGGGAGGGGAATTTTATTTTTTTCTCTTCTGCTTGTGAATAAATTAAAAAAAATACTTACGCTCTCCAAGGATCGTGCAGGGTACCACCTAATTGTATTTCTCTGCCAAATGGAGATAGGCCAAAACCAAATGGTCCTACGTAACGGCCAAATGGGGAAACAGCAGTACCTAAAAAAATAGACAAAAAGATGCAGGATTAGAAAAAATGGTTACATTTTCTGATTAAAATCTATACGAAAGATCTGAGACAGATTTTCCTTCCGTAAAAGACCTGTCTATGGCCTTTGAAAGGAAGAGAAACGTGTCTCCTTATAGATGACCGGGAAGTATGCTTATAAAAACCCAGAATGATCTGCTTATAGAAGCCCACAATAATCTGGTTATAGAAGACCAAAAGGGTATGGTCATAAAAGACCAAAAGGCTTATGGGATGACACAGGGTTCTCTTGTAGAATACTCTTGGCTCATCTTATAAAAAAGTACAAAAAAAGAGGCCTTCTTATATGGAAGTTCTGAAGGATAAATAAACTCTAAATAAAGTCGAGAAGGTCTGAGAAAGACCTGCCTATGACCTTTAAAAAAAGAGGAACGTGGCTGCTTATAGAAACCTAGAATAATCTGCTTATAGAAGCCCAGAATAATCTGCTCATAGAAGACCAAAAGGGTATGGTCATAAAAGACCTTATGGGATGGTAGAAGATGCTCTTGTAGAAAACCCTTGGGTCAACTTATAAAGAAATATAAATAAAGAGGTCTTCTTATGTGGAAGTTCTGAAGGCCCAGGCATGACAAAGACCTTCTTTGTAGAGCCAATCATTTAAAGTCCTCTTTACCCTCTTTAAACGACCTTTATAGAATTGCCAATTAAAACCTACCTATATGACTGGGCGGTGCCCCAATGAAACTAGCCGACAATGGCGATGTCTCAAACGGCGAACGTCCCGGCAATGCCGAGGCATAAGCAGTTGGTGGCAATTCACCAGGTCGATGCATTAGATGCGGTGATGCTCCCGCACTTAATGTTAAGGCTGGCGACGCTTTCATACTTAGCGATGACATTGCCGATGGTGAGGGTCCAGCACCACCTAGACCCGATGATACAGCTATACTACTTTGTGACACGGTCGTTGATGTTGGCGTAACACTGGCACTGCTACTACTATTATTCGCCGTAATACCCGGTGTTGATGGATTACTACCCGAGCCGGGACCTAATGAGGCCGCTGATGCTGATGCTGCCGATGCTGAGCTTAATTTATCGGGATTTTGTTTATTTTGATGATAGTAAATTTCCCACGCTATACGAACGTGCATGGCATTCCAACGGCCAGTTTTCTGTAAGAACAAAATAAATGGCAATTAATAATTTGAGGTTATGTTGGTAATTCAAAGGTAATAATTAAAACTTAGATTTTCAAGATGATCGATGCATGATGTTATGGAAGTAATTTGCAACACCTACCGTAAACTTAATAGATTTTGAGGAGGATTCAACAATATTGGTTGGTAAAGGCGGTTGAGATTGCTGATGTGGATTTGAGGAGGGCGCGGGTTGTATCGTCTGTATGTGAGTGAGTGTGTAAGAGTTTTTTTTTTGGTTTAGAGTATTTATGTGATGATGTTTTGGATGGATAATATGGGGTTTAATAGTTAAGATGGGTACATGAAAATATGAGGTAAGGAAAACACATGAAAAATGAAATGATGTGAATGAATGAAGAAAATGAAAAACGAAAATTGGGCGGAAAACAAAAACCTACCTTTGGCGCAAATGATGTTAAATGGCTGGGTGGCATAAACGGGGTAGCACCACCCAAACCGGGATGCATTAACCCGGCTGGACTGTAGCCCGCATAACCGGGCAATCCCAACCCCGTACGATAGAATGGCGAATCAACGGCAGCAATTTTGGGAATGTCTTTGAACAGAGGCGGAGGAAAGAGAGGAGCCGGCGCTGGTGGCGGAGCTGCCGCTATAGCTGTTGGCAATAATTGTTGATGCTGATGCAGATGGGTATGCTGATGTTGATGATGATGCAATTCTTGCCTTAGATACGGTGATGGTATTGCTGCAGCTGAGGGGCCGTGTGGAACGGCTGATGTTGCCGTTGCTAAACTGCCGCTACTCGATGTGGGTGGTGGTGGGGGAACACTAGCCGGTGAAGCATTTGATGCCACTGAGGGTGAAGCGGCTGCTGCTCCCGTCGTTGCACTTTGACCACTGGCCGAAGAACCAGCACCACCATGAACGCCAGCTGGCTGTTGTTGTGTACTACGATCCAGGAACCTATTATCCAATTCACGTCTCAAAAGATCGGCTTGATCATCTGTAAGTGAAAAAAAATTAGTACCACCCATTGAAGGAAACCAGAAAACCACTCCAACTTACTCTTACTCGGCTGGAATAACGATTCCGCCGAAAATGGATGTGGTGCCGAACTTTGAGTGGTTGTGGTAACCGGTGCACTATTTGCCGCCGTGGTTATCATTGCTGAGGATGCTGGTGCCGAGATTGCCGAACTAACAGCCAGTGAACTGCTTATGGAACTAATTGGCGGTACACCACCAACCATCATTGCTGAGGACGACACCGGCGGAGCCGCAGGAACTGTTGGCATTGGAGGCACAAAATATTGTGGATGAAATCCACTACCAGGAGCAGGTATTGTCGGCGGTGGTGGTGCCAAAGCCGATGAGGAATGCATTGTCGCTGTGTGCGGTGAAACCGAAATGGGTGGTGGCTGCATTGACGACGAGCCGCCTGCCGTCACGGATGTGGCTGCCACAGTTGGAGGCGGTGGCGTGGGCCTTGTGGCCAAACTAGATGGATGTGAGGTAACAGCTGATGTCGGAGGTGGTATTGACAATGAAGAGGAACTGTAAAAACAACAATAAAACATTAAAAGGATAATTAAAAAAAACTTCTTCAAATAACTAAAAAAACTTACCTTGGAGGCGGCCACATCGAATGTTTTGGAGCACCCGGATAGGGTAAACCACCCGGAGGAGCATGTTGTGGCAGCTGTTGTGAAGTCATCATGGGCATACCGCCAGCTGCAGCATATGTTGTTGTAGGCAACGAAACCGTGGAACTATAGGAGGCATTTGATATAGCCAAGGAAGCAACGGAATATGGTGTAGAGGAGGTCGTCATCGAGGAGGACGATGCTATCGACGACGACGCTGTGGATAGTGATAACGACGATGCTGATGATGATGTGGGCGCCGCCATTGACGTTGGTAAATATGCCGCCGCCGTTGATGTTGGTGGTGGCGGTTGAGGAAAACCACTGAGGTGAGTATTGGCAACAGACGAACGTGGAAGGTAGGCGAGACTGTCATTACTGGTGTTACTACTACTGCTGCTACGCTCTTTAGACGGACTTTCACTTTGCGGTGATATGCCCTTGTGAATCACAGATGCTGAATTTGTGGCCGCAGCAGTTGAGGCAACAGAACTTGCAGGTTGAGGCGGCTGACTACTACTACTACTGCTCTGAGGAGTAGATGGGGTGGTTGTTGGTGAGGCTCCTCGCAGAAGAGCTGAGTGTGGCGTTGGCAGCATATGAGGCGGAAGTGGCGGCATATGTGGCGGCCCCAAATGGGGATGCGTCAGCAAGTGTGGTGGCGGTGGATGCAGTATTTGGGCTCCATCTCTGCTGGACATTGTTGGTGGATTTAATCCACTATTGATGACCCCGCCGCCGCTGCCTCCGCTCAGTGTTGCACTGAGTGGTGTGGAGGCAGAGGTTGTGGTCGTTACACTTGCTATACTGTGACCTGGGTGGGAGGAGGAAATGGGCAGATGATGCGATAACATTGCCGCCGACTGGGGATGTGGAAATGGTGGCGGAGGACCACCCAGCATTTGCTGCGGCATAGGCAACGATCCTGGATATGGAAGATGTGGATGATGCAACAGATGCGAGGGCATTGCAGGTGTTGGCAGTCCTGTCGCTGGGCCATGACTTAAGCTTGCTGTCACAGGTGGCATTGACGTGGGCGTAGACACTGTGGTTGGAGTTGAGCTGGTAGGCGTACTGGAACCACTAGCACTATTTGATTGTCCCGCTCCTGTCGACGATGACGACGATGATGGTGGTGCTGCCGACGACGATGCAGAGTTGTTTGGCTGGCTGCTGACTGGCGTTGGCGGCCTTAAGCTGGCTGGTTTGGTCATTTGTGACATCATGGGAGATTCTCGACTTGTCCGTGGCGAGGCACTTGGCGATGGCACTGCAGGGGGCAAATAGTGACTGTGCGGTAGCCCACTGTAGGGTGCATAGAGTGCATAATTGGGATAGGGCGGGCGATATGGCGATGCGTGTAAAAGCATTGGAGATATACCATTGGGAGGTATGCCACCGGGCAACATTCCAGGATGTCCCACGCCAGGCGGTAAACCATGAGGCGGCAGACCTCCTGGGCCAAAAAGGCCAGCAGTTGTTTGTAATGGAGGCAATCCACTACCACTGTGTGGTGGAAACTTGGCCATGGATGTGGCTATCGACGAGGGAGGAAGTGTTGAAGCTGAAGAAGATGATGGCGGCGGTTGTTGTGCATTGGAGGAAGCCAAGGAGGATGCAGAGGCGGCGGAGGAATGGGGCGAGGCGGAAGTTGTAATGGGTAGAGATGATTTACTCGTCATTACCCCAGCCGAAGAAGATGATGATGACGACGAAGGTGGTGCTATACCAGTAGCAGGTGGTGTTGCCGTTGGCGGCATTGCATTTGGATGTGGTGAGATCCTAGATTGTGGTCCAGCACTGTTAACAAATGGCGGCAGATATCCGTTTATCATTGGCGGTGGAGCAGGACCACCACTAACTGGGCCTTTGTCGCGTCCTTCCGGCGTCGTTTCGTTTGGTTTTAGTCCCAGATTCGACGCAGCGTTGACATTGGAATGCAGTGATGAGGGAGGGAATGGATGTGTCGGAGGCGGAGGACCCAATCGGCTACTTATTGATCCCGCTGCATTAAAGCCGCCAATTGAAGGACTACCGGGAATTAATGGCGATCCTCCACTTGCCGATGGCGGCATTTGAGCACCAGGTGGCAGTTGCATGTTTGCTGGTGAATTGGGAGCTAACGCAGAACCGGATGACTTGGGATGCATACCTGGTAACGGCGACGCATTGTGCGGTGGTGGAGCAGGCGACATGAGATTACCAGCCGGAGCAGATGGTGAGCCGGCCAAATGTTTTGGTCCAAAGGGACTATCACTAGAACCATGTGGATGCGGTGATGGTACCGCTGATGATGAGGGTGATGAGAGGGCATTGCGGGGATCATTGAGATGCAGTGGAGGTTGTTGTTGCTGTTGTTGATTTATATTAGACGGGTATCCTCCTTGTACGCTGCTGCTATGTGAGGGATGTGATGGTGGTCCCAGTGAAGATTTGTTGTTATCGCCAGCAGCTGATGTTACGGGTGGACCAAATACCGAATGTGGTGGTGGTGGCGGTAAAGATCCGCCAGGACCCATGGCGCCCGTTGAAGGTGGTCGACCATCGTGCACCAGACCATGACCATGAGGTGCTCCCAACATTGAAACATTGTTCGCACCACCCACCTGAGATAGTGGTCCACCAGGCAACATACCACCACTGGTGGGTATTGAAAATTGCTGTTGTTGCGTGGGTGTCGGAGCTGGTGATTGTTGTTGTTGCTGCTGCTGTTGGGAGGAGTTGGAGGAATTCTGTTCATTGTTAGCGGGTGATTTTTGATGTTGCAATGATGACGCGGACACAACATGACCAGCCACAGAAGATGGTGTGCCGCTGGAGGAGTTTGTATTGGAACTTGTCACAGATGTCGAGGCCGCCGCTGCAACAGGTGGCGTTGTTGTACTTGTCGCCTGCAGAGGATAATCTGATGATTTTCGAGGTGTTGTAGGACTCGGTGTTGCATTTGTAATTTGTTGAGTGGGCGTCGAGGGAAATACAATGGCTCCTAACTTTTCAGGACCCTGTGGAGGAAGAAGAAAAATTAAATGATTAGAATTGTGTTTTGATTTGAATTTGTAAATGTAAATCATAAAAATATATAAACGAAAGATCAAGAGTATTGAGATTTATAAATTCTTATTTAAACCCAAAATTGTAGGCAGTTGATTTTTTATAGCGGGGAGACCTAGGGTTTTTTTAATTCCTACTCAATTTCAGTATTTATGAGCATCCGTCTATGCTCATAAATACTGAAATTTCTAAATTCGTATTAGAGATTGTCCAAATTCTTATTTTGAATAAAATAAACTCAAAATTGTATGCTGGTGTGTTTCAACACTTGGAGACCAAAGGTTTTGTTTTTGGTTATAATCCTCCTCCTCCTAGATGAAGAATTCTAGAACCGAAATAACTCACCTTTTGCCCTTTTGTTGTTGTTGCATTATTACCACCACCAGACGACGAATTTGACGACAGTATAAGCAATTGTTGCTGCTGAGTCGTTGTACTTGCCTTCGCTGAAGATTCAACATTTTTTGTGGATGAGGAAGATGATGATGATGATGTGGACACCATATAGCCCCCGCCGGCAATATTTCCAGTTTCTTTGTTAGACAATAAATTTGTTGTTGTAGCCGTTGTATTGTTCTTTGCTGATGTTGTCGATTTGCCGGAGGCATTAGTTGTTGTATTTGATGACTGGCGTTGTTTGGTTTTGTTTGATGTTTTGGTAATGGTTCCTCCTCCTCCTGTTGCCGAGGAGGAGACTGCTGCTGTTTTACCACCAACATTCGATGCTGCTGCTGCAGCTGTTGTAGTTGTAGCAGTTGATGTAGTAAGACGGCTATTAGCCGCCGTTGAAGTGGATGGCATGGTTGTGGCCGTATTGAGTGCCGGCGCTGTTGTCGATGCAGCTGCTGCTGCAGATGTTGTTGTCGTTGTTTTGCCAGTCGAATTTTTCGTGGAGATTGTTGCTGTGGATGCTGCTGCTGTCGCACCAACAACGACTGCGGCAACGGCTGTTTCAGCGGCAGCAGCTGCACAAACACCATCCTGTTGTTGTGCATTGCTACTGGAAGACTCAACACGTACAATAATCGCTATTTTGTTAACTTGTCTTTAATGTCGTGTTCCGTGTAATTTTGTGCGATTTGTTGCTGCTGCTGTTGTTGGCGGCGGCACACAAATCGAATTGACACGGAATGTTCAAACAACACCACTAGACAACTAATGCAAAACAACAAGTATGGGGGGCGGGGGGCCGTTTGTTTTTTCCAAGCACAATTTTCACAATAATGTTGTTATTAGTGCCTTCTGTAGTTTTTAGGCTTCCGGGGATGATTTTTTGTGGAATTTTTTTTTAAATAATTTTTGGCTTTTATTGCGCTAAAATGTGTTATTTAATTTATTAATTGATTGCAATTGATTGATTGTCACCAACAATCATCTGGTGTTGTCAACTAAAGAGATCGTCTCTCTCTGTACTATCCCAATGTTTGTTTACGGCCGTATTTACACTGCAGCACAAGACGTATGAAGGAGTCTGAGGTCATTGCTCTCTTTGAATTGTATTTAGTATTATTTGTTTTAATTTTTATTTGCATAGTTTGGACATTTTTTATAAAAAATTAATAATTTTATATTTATTTTCACTGTTTCTTTATTATTATTTTATAAAAATATGTGAATTGTTGTCATTTATTTGTTTTTTAAAGATTTGTTAGTATGCGCTCTCTCCCACTTTGTTATTGCTTTATTACACATATGAAGAGAAGGCTCTTTACTTGTTCAATTTGTTATTGTTATTTTATAGTTTTTTATTATTTTGGCATTATATTATAAAGTGTTTATTAATTCTTTAATTTGTTTTATTTACTATTATTGTTATTTTATAAATGTATATACACAATTAAAAGTATTTCTTTGCTTTTGAAGAGTTGCCGGTAAACTCTCTCTCTCTCTCTCTCTCTCTCTCTTTATTTTGCAATTGCTTGTCAGTTACACATATGAAGAGATGTGCTCTTGTTATCTTATTTCACTTTATTTAATTTGATATTAAATTGTTTTTATATTATTAATTAATTGTATTAATTTATTACATTTTTTTGTAATTTACACTTTAGCTGTGATTATATCGATCGTCTTAATAAACGTGGTTCTCTTTGTTTTTGACATGTCTTTTTTGGAAGAGCACACAAGATGAGACTTTGGATCTGTATTTAAAAAAATAATTAATTTCAAATAAATATTTGAAATATTTATATTGTTTTGGAAATATATGATACTGTAGTTGCCGTTGTGATTATGCGGAATTGGAAATTTATCACTGTACTTTTGTAAATGAATTAAAGAACTTTGAACAAAAATGGCTCTCTCTCTCTCTTCTCTTTACAATTACAGACAGTGTCTGATTATTAATTTGTTTAATTTTTTTTTAAAGAATTAAAGGGATTTTATTAAAAATTAAATTACAATTACAGGAAACTTTCAGATAATTAATAATAAGCGATTTTTCGAAGAATCTTCGTACTTTTATAGGATTAATTTCTTTATCTTTGAACAAAATTGGCTCTCTCTCTTCTCTTCTCTTTATCATTACAGCAAGTGTCTTATTATTCATTTTTTTACTTTTTTAAAGAAGTAAGGTTATTTTTTAAAAGAGCGCCCAAGGTCAACTTTGGTTTCAGGTCCGGTAACTCCGCACTTTTTGTATGAAAATCAATGAGCATTTTTTAAATCTGCCTCAATGAAGGGGCTCTATCGTTTTTTGGAAGTTCTCTCGGAGATTTTTGACCGGCGGAAGTCTTCTTCTAGAAAGTCTCCTATTTTTGAGAGATTTCTCGAAGTTCATGTTTTGCAATAAAAAAAAAATTCCTCCTGTAGTTCGAATTTTTAGCACACTTCTCGATGTTTGCAAAAATGTCTGTTTGAAGACCTTTGTAAATTATTCCCTTAGAAGTTCTTCGCAAATTCTCTGGCGCCACAAAAATAAAACTGAATGAGGAAAAAGCTTGTGGTTTTGTTTAGAAAATTAAGACATTACCCACACATACCTATCTGATATACCGTCCTCCTCCTACTTGATATTTTACAAAGTTAAGGTGTCATGTGTCAACATTTCCAAGACAGCACAGGACAGAAGTGAAATGTCCCAAACCAGAAACACAGAAAGTGTAAAGTTTAAAACAATACGACCTGTGACGACGACTACGATTCGAAGTAGGGGAAGAGGAACAACCCCAAAGGAATTTAACAAAGAGAAATTGTGACACCGCACCGTCAGCGATTTCTTGTGTAGTACTCTGGTGGTGGTTGTGCGGTCTTCTGGTCGTCTTGGTGGCGGCTAAACTTTATTGGCGCGCTGGTTTTGCATTTAAATATTCATTTGTGTGCCACAATTTTCAAATTCCCCTAGCGCCACTTACAAAACATTTTTGTTGTCACACATTTATTCCAAACATCCGGAGGTTGTGGTGGTGACGCTACCATTATTATTGCCCACTGAAGCAAATAAAAAAAGAAATAAAATAAGGTGAGTGATTATTTTGCAAAATTCCCAATGTGGGATTTCATTTTGACCACACCTGGAAACGCGTTAAATGGTATAAAAAAACTTGGTATGTATGTGTTCGGAGAATGTGGTTACCATAAAAGTTTGTGCAAAATAGCCAAAATTAGATGGAGGGTGGTGTCTGGTGGCTTTGGTTGTTATAGCCGACCAGGCTACAAATTTTGTCAGGTTGCGTATGAACAAAAAACTATTTGCAAAAGTAAATTACATTGGAGCAGAGGAAAAAACAATAATTTCTAAAACCTTGGTAAAGCAGACCAGTAGAGACGTTTCCGTAAGCCAACTATCCAGCTAGTCAACCAAAAAATGCAAGCATATAAACTCAATTCTCTAGGTTTTTTAGGGTCTAATGTTGTCTTATTTTACAAAAAGCTTTGAAAAATAGTACAACTGAAATTTAGTTCCGGATCGGGCCGAAGTTTTTATAACGTCTATGCAAAAATTCGAGCTATGTAGGAGATTAACGCCGCCTTCATAGCCTCAAAATTTCAAATTATTGCAAATTTTTTCAGAAGATGGAATCAGGACCTTTAAGGTATCCAAAATTGGCGGGATCAATATATCGGAAGTTATGTGAAAACATGGTTCTATATTAAAAAGAAATTTTCCCCTGGGAATCATTACGGGAGTTTGTGATTCGATTGGATATATATTAACTTATGTAGGGGGTTCAACGCCTTCATAACCCAAAATTTTCAAATTATTTGCAATTTTTTAAAAAATTAGAACCGGAACCTTCAAATTGTCCAAATTGGCGGGACTAATATATGGGATGTGATGTCAAAACAGGGTTTATATATTAAAAAAAAAAAATATTTCTGTCAGGGCGAATTTGTCAATATATGCCAAACAATTTCGATGCGATGCCAAAACATGGTTTATATATTAAAAAAAATATATTTCTGTCAGGGCGAATTTGTCCCCTCAGATACCCTAAATGCCAAACAATTTCGGGGCAGACCCTGAAATTCAATGGCGGATTTTTTTCCTTTGAGATCGTGGTACATATGTCACTTTGGTTGAAAAACCATCAACATTTCTTGGATCAGGTCAGGACCCCACATTTGGGAATATGACAAAATGTCAAAAATAATTCTCCAAGATGTGTTTTTATTCTCGAAATGCTGAATAACATCTACTTCGATTGAGAAAATAATACGAAAAATATATTTGGTCTTCTATATATGGCGACTTCAAACATCGGTGTCCTTATATGAAGGATATGTCAAAACGTTCACCTATATATAGAATTTTCTAACTGGATGTATTTTTATACTCGGAGTATAAATGAAAAACTGTCGGGATCATTATATCAAACTATTTTTGGAAAACTTTCAGGTTGAAGGATCGATTTTATTATCTGAGAACCTGGAGTGTCAAAAAATGATTCGAAGACATTAAAAATAACAAAAATATAGCGAGAATGCATAAATGGTTGCTATACGAAATCTG